AGGGGCGCCCCCTGCCTCTGAATCAGCAAGAATACGATCCTAGCACTGATCCCTGGTGCGCCGACAATCACTGACCGCGCGGCTGCTGATTCTGAGCCACCTGCAGCGCTTGATCCGTTGATGAGTTACATGCCATGAACCATCCAAGACACCGCAGCCTCTCTTTCCACTTCCATGACTTTCTCCTAGTATGTATTTTCATCGTTAGCCCTCATCTTCGGACACTTGCCATTCCCAAGGAGGCCTCCGAGAGAGAACAAACCAGTTTCACCATGCACAACGAAAAAACAGTTTGTGCCTTCAGCGGATGACCTCGCTCATCAACATTGGTCATGCTTTGATCCAGCCAGTTATGTTTATTGACATTTTCAGCGACATTCTCACTGTGCATTTGCATGACTCAGCTCTTTTCGATGTGTTTCTTGTCTTTATGCCTGATGTATGACTGAACCATGAATGTTTGACTTTTGTCAATTGCTCTGATTCTACACTGACCGACACCCTTTTACCTTACTTGACCCTTCCCTCCCTCCGCCCCTTTAGCTTGCTCAAGCCTACAACCCGTGATCCTTGCCTCAACGTTCCAGTTGCCACCTTCGAAGAGCCATCATGGACGCACGCTGGCAGCAATATTACTGGAACCATTATTTGCACCAACAGCAGCAACATCAGCAGCTTACCAACCAGGACACCACAGTTTCTCCTCCCACTGCAACTCACCACACATACAACCCTACTGGCGCTTATGGCCCACTCACTCAGCCCACCACTCTCACCCATACACGACATCACCATACACACCGCCACCGCAGCACACACCGCCACAGCAGGCTCCACCGTCGCAGCCGGAGTTCCCACCTCCACCGCCACCACCACTGCCCACAGCCGACCCAGTCACTCCACCGCCATCGAGCTACAAGCGCAGCCCGCCACCGCCACCAGCTGCCCGCGCCGGCACTACACCTGCCCCACCGCCACCTCACATCCCTTCTCCCACTCCACCAATCCACGACTCTTGGAACCAAACCGAACACCATTGGGATTCCAACACCCTCCACGGCCACCAGCTCTACCGCACAATCCAACCCACACAATGGTCTCGAAAAGCAGGGGTGGCAGGGCTTCCAACCTTTGACATCTTCCCGTGGCAATTGGCGTACCATGGTACGGCCGAATTCACAGCCCGCACTCTTAGCAACGGAAAATTCACTGGTTTTATTGCCACCAGAAGCATTGCGGAGTCTGTTTTCGTTACCCACCTACTCCAAGAGCTCCGCGAGAAACGCTTCGACTTGGACGGCATCGCCGAGACCCTCCACACAAAACAAGGAACCGACATCCCCAGCAAGACAACCCAGGCCCGGGCTTTCCACGCCCCCCTCATCAACCTACTCATCCAACAACTCCAATCCCACTCTCCGGCACCAGCAGAGGGCTTAAGAACACTACCGATGAGCTGGCCCGCGCAAAACAGAAGCTCCACAACTTGGGCGAACCCCTCACTCCAGTGAAGAGCACCAGCCACACTTCAGGACCGGCCGCCCCCTCACATCCACCCACTCCACCAGCACCCAAACCACCGGCCCTTGCTGACGTCCTGCAACCTCCACACCCCACTCTGCAGGACGATATCCCAGACAGCTGGAACTACACCGACATCCAACACTGGGTCACCACCTTCGATCCCACTGTCCAAGAAGCAGCCAATGAAGTTTGGCGATTGCTGCAAACAAGCAAAGTCACTACCCAGCAATTGAAAGACGCAGCCGCACGTTACGGCCTCCCACTCAACCGGGTCAATCGCCTCCCCATACGGAGCTTGCAACAGCTTGTGAGTGTGGGGGCAGCTATCGGCTGCTGACTCGCTGTACTCAGCCAGCAGCAACCCAGCCACACCACCCTACAACACCTGTTCCACTTACACAGAGCACTTTCCATTTTGATCCACCACACCCAATACATCGACCGCGCCGAAGCCATCTTTGCCACTGGTCTTATCCACATCACACTCCTTTTCGCATATCCTTCCAACACCCGTCGCTCACAACAGTGGCGCAACCGTTTCCGCCAGCTCCACATCCTACCCCACACATACCATTACCACAACTTCCTCTCCTCCAATTCGGTTTACATCAAGCTCCACTTCAACCCTGACCCACCCCAACGCTGCTACCACCAACATGGCCACTTCTATGTCGACTCCACCGCCATTGGCATCCCCCACCGCGAGCACAACCGCCGTGCCAAACTCAAACAACTCCAGAACAACATCCCAATTTCAGCAGAACTTCCCCTACGTTACTGGCATTCACATAACAACATCCACCACTACACCACCATCCAACTTACATCCCACGACACCTATGACCAAGCTTGGATCCAGGAACACCACTACATCGCCAACTGGATGCCTACACTCAACTGGCCCTTCATTTCCCACCACCTCAAACTTAAAGCTCAAGGTTGGCAATTCACCAAGCACAGAGCCCATTTCTACTCCAGATTGGCCACCCACAAACGTCTCTTTCGACGCCTACGGCAACGCCAACACACCCTCAGAGTACACCTCCACTAACCATCACGCTCTTACCCTTCTCCGCAACCTTACCAAACACACAGCAGCCTCCTTTGAAGCAGCCAAAGCACTACGAAGCGGCCGCCACACCGATCTTGAAGTCTACGCCATCCGGCGCATGGCCGCCAATCTCGAAGAACCCGGCCGCAGCAGAGCTCTCCACATCATCAACAAAGCCCTCCTCTACCGCAACCTCACACCACCAAAACCGAACATCCCACTGACAGTGCCATTCCTGGCCCACCATCCCCCTCCACCTCCCCTCGCACCGCCTACGTGAAGCCGCACACAAAACCCTGCGGTCCCAACTGCATAATCACCGCACATGGGAGGACACCCTCGCTTCCCCACCAGATCCAGCAGACCTCCCCTGTGCATGCAATCATCTTCGAACTCTACTGCAGGATCCTGACACACCCACCACCAACGGCCACTACATTCTCACACTTGATCAGCTTCACCTCCCCACACACCTCAGCATCTTTCTCAACGCCAACATGAACAGCACATACTATCCAAGCAAGGCCCGCTACTTCCTCACTTTCCAGACGGCCTACACGAAATGGCTCAAGCTACAAGGGCTACCACCATCCCTCGTACAACACTTGCCGCCATTCCTCGAACACCAATGGCGCCTCCGCAACATGCACCTCAAACAACAACCCCGGTTTACGGCTCGCCTGCTTCGCCAACTCCAAGAATATCTAGGCCAAAATACAGTGCTTCACCATGCCGACCATGAACTCCAACAGCTCCGACTGTTCTGTCCCCGCCAATATTTCACTGGCGCTTTGAATACATGGCAATCCCCTGAACTTTTTGAACCACTTCCTCACCTCACAGCCGCCAACATCCACGACCACCTCGCAGCCACTGTTCCCCCCATTTTACGCACCCGCTACAAATGGGGCTTCCGCAAAGATTTCAACATCCCCTACGGTGTCGTCCACCTCAAGGAGAAAAAACAGTGGCAAAAAGGCCGCGCCATCATCTCATACTTCCAGTCACTCAGTGGCAACCTACTCCGCATCACTAGCCGTGCCCTTGACATCATCCTTCAACACCTTTACCCCCAGCATCCAGGACACATGTCCATTCCACAACTTTGGCGCCACTTCCACAGCTACCTCACCCAAACCCCAGCAGACATCTCCCTGTACGCCACCAACGATGACCTGGTTGGCTTCTTCAACTCGGTCCCACAGCACCGACTCATTTCATTGATGCAGTTCACTCTCTTATCCACCACTGGCAACAACAGCAATCCACACACACCCTCAGAGTGGATGTCCAAGCCACAGGCAACCCCTTCCACCACTCTCACATTGGCAGACACCATCGCAAACACCCTACACAACGCACCATCCAGACATCCGACATCACCACCATAGTGGCCTTTGCACTCAACACTTGTATTTTCCGGGCTTGCAACAACACCTACAAGCAAATCCGAGGAGCTGGGATTGGCTCCCAACTCTCTCCAGCCCTATGCAATGTAGCTATCACACTCATCGAACACTCCTGGCATCAGACCCACAACAACTTACTCCAACACACTGACCTACATTTCACCTACCATCGATATGTGGACAACCGCTTCATTGTACACAACGAACATTTCCTCCACCATCCCGCCATCCAAACCCTCATCCACCACAACTTCTTCGGCGACCCGGTGGAACTCGAACCTGTGGACGGCTTCCATCTCCTGGGTTTCAACATTGACCTCCCCCAACGCACCATCACCTACATGCAACCTTCCCAACCCTGGAAAATCAGGGATTCCACCACAGCCGGGAGCCAGCGCTTGGCTCTGTCAGGCCTCCAATCCAGACTTCACACCATTAGAAAATACACATTTCCACCCTCTAGCGCTGAAGCTGCTGCCGCTGAGCTAGTGAAGCTCTATGTCCAAAAAGGACACAACCACCACGCCTGCCACCGATTTTTGAAAAAAGCGCCGAATCCGGCGATCTGTGTGTGTCCACCCCTGGACAAAGGGTCTCTTCCAACCAATTCACTCACCACTTGTTTCACCGCAGATTCCCAAGCAGGGGAGTGGAGCAGGCCTGCAGAGCTCCACTTAACAAAGCTCTCTGCAGTGCCCTGAGGATATCGGCCAGGACGCTGGCCGACGTACCTGCTCGTTCTCAAGCTGTGACTCCACTTTTCCACTTTTTGATTCATGGTGGTTGCGTGTTTCATCCCACAAACAGGTGTTTCCACCGCATTTCTCAGCTGAACGTGAGCCGCCGACCGCAGACTTGCACATTTGGAAACCATGTTCAACCATACTGTTTCCGCTGACCTTTTCACCTTGCGGTTCTTCGCCATTTTCCCAACGTGGTAACTGAGTCACTGAAAACCAATGTCAGAGTGTGAAACCCTTGGTTTCAGAGGGAACCTGTAGTCTCCAATTTGGCAGGGGCACTGAGCACTCCTTGGCGAACTCAGTGCATATGAAGCTATGCCTTGGAGTGGAAGCACGGATTGATCACCCGTGTGTACTTGCCGTGATCACCGCTTTTTCCTTCTGAGCCCCTTTGTCACTAGAACAAGTCAGTGGCCATTGCATCGGCTTGAACTCTGCAGACACGCATTTGTCGTTTCCGTTGGAACTCTTGACATCGGACTTGGAAACCTTTGACACTTTGAAGATGTTCAGACCACCTTACTTACACCTGTCCTGGTTTTCTCAGGTTTACTTAGGCTGGTGCGTGGCAAACCGCAAATCAGTACCGTACGAGTTTTCCCGAGTGTGTGTTTGATCCGCCATAAATAGCTCATGGCTTTTCAGGAAGGGAAAGAAGATAAATCCTGGCTACACTTGCATTGGCCGTTTGCGGGGCCTTGCGGAGCTTCGGGGTCTTCAGCTTGGAATTGCATCAGCTGGCATGGTGAAGGACGAATGACAAGCTCGCTCCAACACCTTTTTTCAAACGCGTTTTTTTCATGGTTTTGCATTTTTGAATGTGTATTATACTTGCAGATTTTGAAGACTTTGACATACTTTGACCCATTTTGTATTTTTAGGAGCCAGGTTCAAAAAAACAAAGAACCGAGTGAGATGGGCCTCGGGTCACGAAGAAATCACTGTTCTTGCAATTCTGTGTCTGTATTCTTTTAACATCACGCAAATTCGCGCATGTCCGGCCAAGCCGAAGAATGTGGTTTTGGCACAGACTCTTTTGACTCTTTTGCATAGACTGACCGAGTTTGCACGAAAAAAACTTGTTCAGGGCAGGAGGTGCGGTTGCAGTCTACAAGTTGCCAAAATTGCACTCTGTTAGGTGGGAACAAAATGACTATAGAGAGATGATAGAAGATAATAAGACATTGCCTTCTACCCCCAAGGCTTGTCAGCTCAGCAAATAATGTCCAATGTAGAATTTGACAGCAAATAATTTGTCAACGGTGAGACATACAGGTTTAATTACAATTGCTGCTGTTTGGCCACAGCACACAGCAACAGTCAAGCAAGATGCACTGCAGTGCAGACTTCCACAGACAGAGTCGCTAGCCATCTGACAAAGGTAGAGGCGCTGTGGGATTGCTTGCGTGGCCATGTAATCTTGATCCACTTGTTCATTATCAGGGCCGAAGAACACTTAGATCCATCGATCAAAAGACACGAGCATTTGTCCTGTTTTCCGATCAGCACCTTTTTGCAGCCCTCAAAGCCACCAGAGCCGCTTGTGGGGCAACCAGCGCAACTTGTCCTGAAAGGTACTCACAGAATTGAAGGGTTCAGGATCTTGCAGGAAGGTAGTTATAGGTAAAGTTGGTATTACATGCAACCTCAAAAGCATTTTTTGACTTACTTTTAGGCAGGCAAGATAGCAAGCTTGACAAAGAACTAAACAAAAATTGGACTTGACCTTCAACGGCTCTCAGGTTCTGGCCATGAGCATCCGCCAGACAGAATTCATGCAGTTGCTGCCTCGCTCTGAAATAGTGCCCTGGACTTCAAGCTTCCAAATCTTCCAAGCAATTGTTGGACTTCCAAGCAATTGCTTGGTAGGCTTGGATTTCGGAAAGTCGCACCTGAGGAGCTGGGTGGCTGGAAAATGCTGGACACTGGGGAGTGCGGGCCTTAAGAGACGCCAGCAGTTGTGAGCCATGAAGGGCAATTCGTTGAAATGTCCTCCTAAGATTAAGAGCACTTCGTAATTGCCGCATCAACCTGGAGGCGTTGGCACTACGTCTTTGTCTTCCCAATGGAGACAGCAGATCCAAAAGATGCAGAATACTGGGATTCGCTAATGCCCAATCCCTTCGACACCTGGGACAGGACCTGTCGATAGGACAAAAGAATTGAACAGCTGGGGCTGGGACTTTAGACCGAATTTGTTGCATTTCCTGTTTGGATTCTGCCAAAGAACATCCTTCTTTCCACGACGCCGTCCTCGCTGCTTTGTTGCAGGATTTTTACGCACCAGTACGACACTGCACCACCTGACTTGCTAAGCGGCTCCATGACAAGGACGCTAAACATTCCGAGTTGGCTCCCAACCTCCTTCCAAAGCATGTTTGTTTGGTGCATATGACTTCCTCATTAGGGACAGCCAGTCAAGGGTATTCAGAATCTTCGTCTCTTCAATCAAAGAATATCCGAGGCAGATGAGGCTACCCAAAATCATGTATGTGCTTGCTTTGCCATGTTCCAGCGATGACAGTTTCGGGATGGCACTTGCTTTTGCCACAGCGCAGATAAAGGGAGATGGTAGCACAGGGTACTAGTAATATTCAATCGTGCCGAATTCTCTCTCGCTCTCTCTACTTTTGAGATCATAATATATCATAACTATATAACCCTTGAAGCAATATGCCTTTCCAAAGGGAGAAGCATTGGTTCAACAGGCACGAAAATTGTCGGAGCAGGCGGAAAAGCCTGTGTTCTGATAGTGCAACCTGAACAGGATTTTCCCTTTGATGTGTACTAGACTAGAACAGCAGGTTGGCCTTTTGAGCCTGAGGCCTAAGGGACAACTTTCATGACTTTGTTCGACTTATGTAGTTGCTTCAAGTGATTTTGCTAAAGGAGAGAATTTCACAGAGCGGCACCTCCAGCTGCACAGAGTTGAGTTGGGCAATTGTCGCTGCAGATTCCAATTGCTTTTGGTTTGACAAATCTTTCCGAAGTCATGCTGGAGCTTGACATATTTCTTGGCTATCACCGGACTGCGCTGAGCAGTATATAAAGAAGCGGGAAAAGCGTGATCCTCATGACCATTCAACAAACATTTCAAGGTTCGGAAGCAGCTGGCAACGTGGCTGCAGTCCATGTTGAAGTGTCTATGAGATTCAATGACCGGCTAACGAGCCAGGCTCTGTTGCTTGCAGTCAATAAGACACCATGAGCTCAGGTTGATCTCTTCACTGGTCCGATTTGTGGTTTTAGATACCATGAGTTCAAGCATCTCGACTGGAAATAAGTGCAGCAGGGCCAACAATCTCCTTCTACATAGGGTCTTAAAGAGTTATTCTTTTGAAGGTTCGTGCCTGTAGTTGTTTGAAAGCCTTTCTCCATAAACACCCTCGCATAAATTCCATCATTTGTACTGACTCACAGGAGCATTGATGGAGATGAGCTGTTTCTCCTCATTGCAGTGGACAATTTGGAGGCGCAACCTTGTCATCATCACTTGCAAGTGCAGTGTTTGCCAAAAGAGCCGTTGTGTGTGGCTTGCCGTGAAGATATTTGCACTCAGGTCATAAACGAAATTGGGAAAGAGGAGGAGTTCCCTGCAACTAGGATGATCGAAGCAATTTTGGATAGCACAGTGCAAATTGTTATTTGAAGGATCCCTCTGATTTTGTTAATCGATTTGTACATTTGTGAAGTTAGACGTCAGACTTCTTGAGGCCATGCTGGAAAAGTTTGCTTACAGCAAGTATAAGTGTCCGACAGATTGGGCTGAAGGTGCGGCAAGCTTTGAATTGAAGAGCATCCTGCCACAAATCTCGAACTTGAAAGCTTAGGTGCGGGTGTTTTTTCTTGAACATACTTACGGCGTGACTGGGCGGCAAGCATGCATTTTCTTAGATAGTCGGTGCCGTGAATCTGGCGGAGGCACAGAAGGTCAGCACTTCTGTTTGTTTACTTGTGGTTTATGGCGCCGTTGCCGCCCACGCGAGCGATGCTTTCTTATCTTCTGTGACTCCCCATGAACCAATGTCATGGCTTTGAGTTCTGAGCACCAACAGCAAGGGCGTCGCTTCATGCTGCTTCGGACACAATGTTCTTCAACACATTGGCGGGGGCGGCGGCAGGGTGGGGGCCGTTAATCCAAGTGCGAGTTAACCCAGAGCGTCGCTTGTCGCTTCATGTTGCTTTGGACAGGTCCCGTGCCCACAAGCGTCCGGAGGATTTACGTGGTTTTGGCTTTTCGTGGTCGTGTAGCAGTTTGCTTCGGGGGGGGCGAGTGGCGACGTTGGTTGTGATTGCAAACTGAATGATGCTAATTTTGTGGAACTTGCATGGGCATGATGTTGCTTCGTGTAAGAATTTGCTTCTGGAAGGTGGAAGGGACAAAGTGTTGACGCTGCAGGATAAGAACAGATGATAGATTCCATGTGGAAATGCCTAGAAAAGCTCAATAATGAGCCTGAACACGCCTGTGGGGAAAGCCTGGAGTGCTTCCTCCCGAGTCGTTCAAAAATTGCCGGTCGCGGAACCACTCGAAAAGCATGACTCTTGGTCCACTAAAGCCTTCAAACACTGTGAGGGTCACCAAAACTGAAGGGATCACCATACCTGCCCACACGGACGGCGAGAGTGCCGTGATTCTTGCTTGTTCGTTCGTTTGGGCACAAGCAAGAAGCCCAGGAACACATTGATGGCACTCCACATACAAATCTTTACCCTGGCTATGTGGCTGCGCAGCATTGGTGTTTTGAGCAACATTTAGCCACGTAGGGAGGGCATTTATGCAGAGAGGAGCCGACTGAGTTTCGCAAGGTTCGGTTTTCGGAGCACAACCAGAATCTACTTGCACCATGGAACCAAGAGGAGCTCATCAGGTTGATGCGAAGGCCCCCCAGAGCATGATGCATTGACGAAGCATTTTGAAGTTGTGGTGATACTTGGGGGTATGATGTATAGGGCCAGTTAGTGTCTCAAGCATGTGGAAAGAGTCTGCCATCAACACACTGGTTACTGGAAACATGAGAAACATGAGATGCATTTGAAGTGGCGTTTGGCCTGTTTTGTCTGGATCAGGCGCATGAGGAAATTCTTGCGCCTCCAAAGCTTGATTTCAGCAACTTGGACCTTCCTTCCTCAGAACATCATCAGTCTTATCATTTCTCTTTGACCATCTCAAAAAGTCTTACAAAGGTATACAAAGGTGCCTTTCAGCTCAGTTTTGTTAGTTTGATGTACGGGCTCGTTGTTATTGTCGCTCTTTGTAGATTCGTACGAAACAAACCTATGGCCCATGTGACCACGTGTTTAGAAAAAGAAGCTTATAATTTAATTATAGCTCTCCTGCATCAACTCCCCTGCAGCGCACCTTTGGTGAAGCTGGTTGAAGGAAGACATTGTCAAGCAGATCTTCTGTGCTCATCACTGGAAGGACTCGTTGTGCACAGATTTCGACGTGTGTCATTCAGTTCAAACAAACAGATGCTCAATTTGACCCTGTGGCATGATGTGGAGTTCACTGCAGGATCTTTCCGCCTTCCGCAACAAGAAACACTGGAACGTGCCCTGGAAATCTTGTGGATGTTTTGCTCGAATCCATGCATTGCGCATGTAACCATGTATATACACATGTAATGTAACCATTGTCCCAATTCCCTACAGGACATACATGTCGCCCGGTGATGTGAGGATCCTTGTCATTTGCTGCAGTGGCCAACCGAAGAACTTCCAGACTGCTCCCCACTCGCAATTACTTGGTCGGTGTCATGAGAACAAGTACAAGTTGGCACTGACACTGCTGTGCATGAGGGTGGGTGACATGATGCGTTTCTAGTGAGGGCCAATGGCAGGCATTTACTGTATTTTATCGTTTTGCATGGATCTAAGAGAACCTCTGGGGAGTCAGGGCGAAGTTGGCTCGCATGTGTTCGCCTTGAATTGACGAGTGGTAGTCGAATGTAACACACACATGTATATATATATATATATTTATAGCTTTATTCTGAGCTGCGCAGACAGAGTCCAGTATGTGCTGCCAACGCCATATTTTCAGCCACTGAGCTGAGGTATTCAGGTCTACTTTGG